AAGGGATGGATGGATGGATGGATAGTGGGTGGGTGAAAATAGACTAAACCAGATTAAAGAGACTGACTGAGAGGGAGATGTAGGTAGGGAGATGGATGGATAGATAGATGTTTTCTTACCCCTGAACAGCCTCTACTATCTCCACTCCAATTTTTTGGATTGTAGATAATAATTTGATATTCGACTGTGGCAAGATTCATTTTCAGGAGCAACAAGGTTCCATCTCCACCAATTTGAGTTGGAGAAGGGATCGATCACAGGTATCAGTAGGGAAGCATCACAATACCTTTCAGCTGTTTCAGTTGTGGGGGGCAGAATGAATTAAAAACAGTCAGGATGGTTGGTCCTTTGGAGGATATTTACCTTGCAAGGTTAATAATTGATAAATTATGGAAATATTTCCTTTAAAAAAAACAAAAACCACTGGGTATCAGGAAAAGATTTGGATTGTGTAGTTTAAAGACCCTGCCAAAAGGAGCAAATGTGATAGAAGAAGAGCCTCAGGGTAAATCTGAATTTCTCTCTCTGTCTTAGCGACCCTGCCTAAGCACATTGCATCAGCAAAGTGAGAGGAAAACCCCCCAGAGCAGCTCAAATCTCTCCTAGGCAGAGTTTGTGGGAGCTATTGGCTACTCTTCCCGCGTCCAAGAATCCATTCAGTGTCTCCCCACCCACCTTTGTCCCTAGTTGGGAAAGAAAGTTCCAGCCGTACCCGAGACGTCAAAACCCGCAGGGAGATTGTCAAATCTCTGGATTGCATTGCAATCTCTCTGAAGTTAGGCAAAGGCCTCTGACATCTCAAATCCATTTGAAGGTTCTCCTGGCTCCCCGTGGCATCCCGATTTCCCCTTTGAAGGTTTATTGCCTGGCTGTGTTTTTCATTTTATTCTCTTGCGTTTTCGTGAGAACCCGAGGAACGTTGGGGGGAGTGTCTTTTTTTTCTTCTTCTTCTTTTATTCTTTTTCTCCTTTATTTTGGGAGACATTCAAGGGAATTGTTTCTCTGCCTCTCCCCCCCCCCCCCCCCCCCCACAAAAAAAAAAAATCAGCATGGCTTCGTGTGAGAAAAACTGGTCATCGGCAAATGTTGCAGAAGCAGCTTAATTTTAATTATTAATTATATGGGAATATTTGTGGAGAAGCTGCTAGTTAAGGATGCACCACTGATGAGATTTTTGCGGGGTGGGGAGGTCCGTGCTTTGTAGACATGCTTCGTTCCTTCTGATTTATATATTTTTTTCCCCACTGATCTTACAAGTTGTTGAAGAGGCAGACTTAATCGCAGTCATTTCCTGAAAAAAGGCAGGATGGAAAAACCCACCTTCCAGTCCTTTCACTCCACCGTTCTTCTGGTTTTTTATGTTTAATTGCAGTCGCTAGACTTAAGTCAGGTATGCTGTTAATTACCTGTCAGTTGATTGTGTGTTGTTTTTTTTCTTTACTTCTCAAATTTTTAGGGGAGTGCCTCTGGAAAAAGAAGGCCAGATCTCTTCTGCCATTGTGTCGTCCGTTCAGAGTAAAATCACTCAGGTAAAGCGTGTTCTGGATTTTCCAAGGCTTCGCAGTTACCACAGTTCGGGCTTTGAACATTGCAAAGGAGATGCCTAAAATTGGATCGCTGCGTGTTTGTGCTTTGTGAGAGGAGGGAGTTTCTTTCTGTTGTCTCTTGGTGCCAGTGTTTGTGATTGAACAAGCAGTACTCCGCTGGTGCCAATGTTTGTGATTGAACAAGCAGTACTCCGCTCACAACCACAACAGAAATTCTGTTGCTAAAGCAAGGCCATTGTTAAATGAATCATGGCTAGGTTTACGCCCAGATTTTACTGAAGAAATATAGAGGAATTTTCTGAGCTGGAAAAAAAATCATTATGAATATAATAAAGGTAGGATGTGAATAAATTAAAAATTTAAAAAGTGGTTAGGAATGAGTGGGTTTAGCCCCACCCGCCCAAACTGGTCCCAGATCCATCTTTTTCTCCAATTTTTTTACAGATAGAAACTTTTTTCTGTTCCCAACAATGAGAAACTTTTAATCTCTTTTCTTTTGGGTCCTTGCAAGATAGAGAGAGAGAAAGAGAAAAGATCCGTCATCTGTGGAGAGTCTCTATCATCCAGTTATGGTTGTCTCAAAGTTGCTTTTTCCAAAAGACAACTAGACACTCTGGGGTTTTTTTCCTTGAAAACGTTTTGCTTCTCATCCAAGAAGCTTCTTCACTTCTAGAAAAAAAAAACCACAAGAAAGTCCTGTTGCCTTTTGGGAAAAGTCCCTTTGAGTCTTGGATCCATCTGTCTCCCTTTCTTGACTCATTGTGATTGGCATTTGGGTACTTTTTAATCTAGTCCATTCCAAAGCCCACAACGCCCTGCCTTTTTGGTAACATTTTTTTCTCATTAAAGTTATCAAGTGCTTTAAAGGTAATTATCTTAATGCTGTTAGGTACAGCAGTAGAAAAACAAGGACACTGAAAAACTGTGATAAGATTCGTTTACAGATTTGGATATAATAACAGTGTTTATAGGTTTTTGTTTCTTGGTTGGTCAAAGGATTGGAAAATAGCTTAAATAGGCACATTTTTCCTTCAGCACACTAAGCACAGTGCATATAAAAACCCCTTTCCTGTGTTCAGTTTTCCTTCACACAACCTGGTTAAAAAAAACACACACAATAATTTTAACAATCACCCCGTTCAGCTTCGCTTTCCTAAAAAAAAAAACAAAGCAACCCATTGTCTTGGGTTTACTGCAAATTTAATTTGACTTGGTAGGATTACCTCGAAACGAGCTTTGGAGTTTCTCTTAATATGTTAATTTCCAGGCATTGCAATGGATGCATTTTAATAACTTGCACCATTTTTCCTAAGCGAGATCACAGAATGAATGTTCCCTTTCCTCTCTGAAAGAAGGGATTTTTGGTACTTCACATGACTGAATCGATTGGAAATGTGGGTTTTTGTCGAAAGTGGCTGCTTATTTTCGAAAGGGTGAGATATAAACCAGCTGCCGAGCTTTGTAAAGGGAGTCTTGACTTCAGACCTTGGAGAATGACCCCCAGTTAAAAGATTCCCTTTTTCACTCTTGAGAAAAAGAAATGCAAAATAGGCTTTGATTTCTTTCCTTGTTTAGAAAACTTTGCCCAAGAAATGGCCTGTTCTGATATCCTTTTCTGCCTTTCAAAATGTTGTATAATTTTTAGTGACAGCCGTGGTTAAAATCTTGGATATCCTCCGGTTGGCTAAATTTGCTAGAGTGGCCTTACAGAAGCCAGCAATTTTGCAGCGTAGACAATGCCAAGGAAATATTTCCATGCATCCTGAAACCAGCCATTTGAATTTTCTTGCTTCCTTTTAGTTGCAAAAGCTGGATTGCTCAGCAGCAAAAACAACAACAACAAACCCCTTCACATAATTTGCTGAACCGCATTTCTCTGTACAATGTAGAGATTTGGGCAAATCATGTCTTGATACACAATGCTGGTTAACTGCTTTGCACGGTTATTTACAAAATGGCAGAACCCTTGGAGGTCATCTAGTCCTAACCCCCTGCTTGAGCGGGAGACCCTAGACTTATTTCAGACAAGTGGTCTGTCCAATTTCTTTTTAAAAACCTGCAGTGTTGAAGCACCCACAATGTCTGGAAGGAAGTCGTTCCGCTGATTAATTTTTCTCACTGGCCAGGAAATTCCTCCTTCGTTCTAGGTTGCTTCTCTCCTTGATTGGTTGCTTCTTGTCCTTCCTTCAGGTGCTTTGGTTGACTCCCTCTTCTTTATGGCAGGCCCTCAAATATTGGAACACTGCTATCATGTCACCCCAGTCCTTCTTTTCATTAAACTAGATATAGCTCAGTTCCAGCCATCGTTCTTTGTATGTTTTTATAAATAATGTTTACGGTATTTATTATAATCAGCTTTCTGCTATCCTAATATTTCTTTCTGGATTAAAGAAAACACACTTCTCATTCCCAATTTTTTTAAGATAGCACCGTGAGATTCAAGGATATAGGCGCCCTGCAATGCAGAACCTTAAGAACAGTGCATTGGCAGATTTGATGGAATTGTTCTGATCTGACAAAGTTGTTCCCCTTTGGGGCAGCGTCTCTGAAGCCACCGCTCGCCCCTGGTCTGATCTTTTCAGGAGTTGCCTTAAAAAAAAAAAGACAGCTTTTGAGAAATGTCAAGCCATCCCAAGCAATTGGATGAGACGGCTAACCAAACTTCCCTTACCTAAAATATTTCTCTTTTTTTTTTCTTTTGCCTGCTGGTTATCCTTGACAGAATTTGTAAGCAGGCTGGGAGTTACTTATATATCCTTTTTACACTTTCTCTATTGAGATGGATTTGAGGAGTCCTTGGTCCTCTTGTATCTTACAGACATTTCATTACCGAATCAAGGAACATCATCAGTGCTAGAAGAAAGTGGGGTTTGCTCCCTGTCGATGGGAGTAGTTGGTGGTTCCTTAATTAAGCTGTTGTTTACTGAGTTCCTTCATTGAAGGCATTGTATTGAGGTACAAACAGAGAGCAAACCCTACTCCCTTCTAGCACTGATGATGTCCCCTAGTTGGGAAAGAAATGTCTGCAAGAAAACCACCAAGCTCAGAGAGTACCAAGGACCCCACGGTCATCCTCCTCTCTGCATACCTCACTCTCTCCTAGCACTGATAATGTTACCTAGTTGGGTAATGAAATGTCTAAAAGAAAACCGCCAAGCTCAGATAGCACCAAGGACCCCACAGTCCTCTTCCTTCTCCTCCACTCTGCAAACCCCACTCCCTTCTAGCACTGATGATGTCCCCTAGTTAGGTAAGGAAATGTCTGCAAGAAAACCACCAAGTACAGAGAGCACCAAGGAGCCCACAGTTCAACCCTGAGCTACAGATATTCCCTTTCTTCGGCGAGGTGGGATTTTTGGGTTTGGGTGGTAAGGAAATACACATGCTGTTGAAGAGGTCCTCGGCAGATAGTTAGTTTGGTTATTTGCTGCTGTCTGACTTTGCTTTATGCTTCCTTTGTGTGCAGGATCTTATGGCCAAGGTGAGGGCGATGCTTGCAGCTTCTAAAAATATTTCAACCAGTGCCTCTTGAGACGGAAAGATGGAAGCTCTAGAAGGAACAGAAAGTCCTCGTTAGCTGCAGGGGAAAAGAGTCTTCTTGCAACAGTGCTGAGTTGCAAAACTTCCTTTGCAGGAAAAAGCAGCTGTGGGAAGAGGGAGCCTTTGTAAATTATGTTCTGATTGGTTTCTCAGTAAGAATTTTACAACAAGCGGTGCCTGTATATTTGTAAATACGACATTCCGGAGAGTGTTACACAAATAAATATGCAGAGAAATCCTTTTTATTAGCTAAAGCCTTTCTGGAGATTGGTTGGTTATTGTTTTAGGGTTTTGTTTTGTTTTTACTCCTTTTCTTTGTTTCAGATGACCTTATCCTCGCTTTTCAATCAGGGTCCTCTAAAGTAGTGGGTATAAATTGAATTTAGCAGAACAAAGCGAGGAAATGCTAATAAAAGCAGCGGGCAAAAGGAGGAAAAAAAATAGGCCGAAGGACTGGCATTTATTGAGCTGTATAGATTTTGCTTGGAGAGAATAATGCAAAAGGGGCAAAGGGAGCAGATTTCTAATATTCTTCAGGCTATAATTGGGAGCTGACTTGCAGGGTTTTATGGCCCCCAGTCAGAAAAAAAAGCTAGTTATTTAGTTGGTGACAACCATTCCAAGATTTGGAATAAGACTTCTTAATACCTTGCTGGAAGAACAACTCTGGATCCTTCAGATAACCAGAGTTCTGCCTATAAAGGTAAACCTCAATTTATTTGACTTTATCAAAAAATAGGAGACAACATTTTTTGTAGCCATGAGTTAGCAGACTGTCTCTCTCTTTCACACACACACACACACACACACACATTTATTTGGACTTCTAATTAAAAATATATTGGGAGCTTGGCGGATATAATAATAATCCACTTGTTGAAGCAATACTTGTTGAAAATGCAAGGACAAACATACCATAGAAGACTTCCATTTTGCTGCCAAATTTTCGTGGGGCAATTCTAAAAGGATCCAGGACGCTCCATCCCAAATCCACCACTCCAGAATTGGGGCTAGGCTGCTGGTCTGAAAGTCTAGAAACACCACAGCTGGAACTCTTGTGAAATTACTCTTGGGAAGAAGGGAGTCATGCGTAATCCATTTTGAAATTAGTCATAAAGGAGTAAAATTAGTATAATAAAATCTCAGCCAGCTTTAGGCATTGGGAGGGTACGGGTGATTTAATGTGAGCCGTTTCCAAGTTTGTTTTAATTTGTGGAGCCTCTTTAATTTAACAGTAAATGAATTCACTGACCTATTTTTCCTTGACACATTATTATTTTTACAATCACTTTACTAAACACAAAACCATTGCTGTTCGTTCTTAACTTTAGAGAACACTAGAAAAAGCCACAATCTGTTGGGTCATCATTTCAGATATAACTTCCTTACCTAAAGCGATAAAACAGAATGACCCTAGGAAGGAAAAAGGAAGGGGATTTGATTTCCTGCTGGCTTCCTCTTTGTGTGTGGGAAATCACGTCGGAGATCATAATCACATGGGGGTGCAAAAAAATTTGCAGAATTTTGCCAACGCAACCGGTCTGAAGATCCTTTCAATTTCAATCCCACGGGAGTCATGGATCCCAGATTTTGGACACATTTTTTTAAAAAAGTTAAGCTATTTGATTCAAAAATTATTGTCCTGCATTGCACTGTTTTATCCAGAAACAGAAACGGGTTGCAAACAGAAAAGCAGGGGAGTTTTAATAGTTTATAGATGTTGCCTTGCCTTAATAAATGGCGACTGGTAAACCGCAATTATGCACTGAATCTTGCCAATTTCCCATAATTATAGTTTGTACGAATGGAGCACAATACCTTTTTTAAAAAACCCAAAGGAATCAAAAGGGTTTTAAGTGGCAGCTCTGAACAAGAGCCAGATTAAAATGTTGAATATGACTTGTTTCCACCTTTAAAAGTTTTATAAGATAGCGCATGACAAAAGCCTTTTGATTTTACAGACTTTTATTTTTTAAAATCTGGAGACTTTGAGGTTAAAAAGTATTATTAGGAACTTCCAGAAAATCCTCAGTTTAAAAGGTTCAAGCATTTTACTTTAAAACTTGGCCATTCAGGCAAGCATGAATTCTTGTGATTTCAGGGTTATATCCATTGTCATTTTCTTAGCAACGATGCCGAAAAATTTGCCATTGTTAGATCTCGCCTGCAATTGAAGCATTTTCAAGTGGTCTTGTGGGTCTGTATGGAGGAATTCCAGCCCTTTTTGTGTCTTTTGAGATCATCTGTCAGTCTTTGGATGGACTGCTCAAGAAGTTGGGCAATTGCAGTGCATTTTTGCAATTTACAATGCAAGGTGGAAATTAAGCTCTCCTCAGAGAATTTTCATTTTGATAGTAAACTCTTGCCAAAATAAAACGTGGATATATTGAAGGGATCATCAAGAAAATTTGGTGACCCTGAACGTTAATATCCTAGAGTCAAAAATAGCAATTGGAGCTTTTCAAGTATGGTTTTACCTTCACAGATGTGTTCACAGATTAAATCGGAGTTGGAAGAGACCTTGTAGGTCATCTAGTCTAACCCCCTGCCTAAGCAGGAGACCATACACCATTTCTGACAAATGGCAGCCCAATCTCTTCTTGAAAGCCTCCAGTGATGAAGCTCTCACAGCTTCCGAAGGCAAATTCTGTTCCATTGATAGATTGTTCTTGAAAATTTCTCATTTCCAGGTTGACTTTCTCCTTGTCCATTATTCCTTGTCTGGCCTTCGGGTGCCTTGGAAAATAGCTTCAAAAAATAAGAATCTTGTTGACAAAGGCACTGATTATGTCACCTGGCTTGGTAATGAAACGTCTGCAAGAAAACGATCAATCTCGGAGATCTTTTAAGGGGTGTTTTTTTTTTCAAATTGTTTTCCCAAGGAGCAATTTCTTTTGTCTCCTCTCGTCCTACGCAATGCATCGCAGTTTGAATGCGCTCAGAGATGCTGTTAATGCTGTTTTCTCTCTAAAATGTGTTCCCTATTTAAAAGGGGAGGGGAGCTACACCATTTCTGTTTTTTCCCCGTCTTTTTTTTCTTCCCCCCCCCCCCCCCCCCCATATTGTACTTGAGCGGCTTCATAATTGCCTCAGGTTGCATTATGAAAAAACCCGTTTTTGGCTTGTTTGGGAAGGGATTTTCCTAGCCTCGGATAATAAGGCCTCCTTGTTTATCGCAGAGCGAAATGCAAAATGTTTTTTTATTACTTTTTAAAGAAAAAAGGCACAGAAATACATTCTGCTCAGTCTTTATGGGGGTGATCACTGCACAAAAAGTCACAGGAGACAAACTCAATCTTTAGTTCCTTATTTGATTTATCCTTAAAATTCAAGTATTTCCACTAAGTTTTTACGTTTGGGATGCTGCAACAGTGGTCGATTCCAGACATGATGGATATGATGATGTCCAGTCGTCGTTCTGACCCAAACCTTGTTCCAAGGAAACAAACACCAAGCGGAGGTAACAGAAAAACCTTTTAATGATTCTTTACGAATTCCGTTCCTTCACGGTTAAAACGCTGTTTCAAACTAATTGTCTCTGATAAGAACGAGCCTTGCCAAGGTTGTGCAAGGCTGCCAAGAACACGAGATAAAGTTGCCAAGAAATATTTCAAACACAAAAGAGTTTTTCAAACACCAACCAAGATAATCTGAGCATCCACAAGGCTTGAGTGCTAAAACTTCTTTGCTTCCTGCAAAGAACTCCGGTTTCTCAGCTGGCTTTTATTTCTTAAGGGAGGAGCCATTACCTTGCAGCCTTACTCCCGAGTCGCCTGTACTGCTGCAGCTGCTCTTCAAGCAGCCCTGGGTGCAGGCTCCTTGGGGACTTCTTCATCACTGCTGCCAGCTTCCACAATCTCCAAAGGCAGCATTCCACTCCCTGATGGTCTTGGCCCCATCCCTGAATCACACGCAGGCAACAACTGGTTATGTGGGCGTGGCTTAGTTGATGGGCATGGCTTGGTGGTCATGTGACTGGCTGGGCATGGTCAACTCAACATCACATCGAGGCATGCATCTCCTCGCCTTGCCTCATGACTGGGGATGCTGCAACGGTCGTAAGTGAAAAACAGTCATGTCCCTTTTTTCAGTGCCATTGTAACTTTGAATGGTCACTCCACACAAGCAAAGTACCGGCAAAGGAGGAAAAAAAACTCCAGAGAAGTTCCTCAGACAGGAAGTCTAGTCCTGCCAAGAATGTAATAAGGGTTAACGGAGAGGCAGTTTCTGTAAGCAACACCAGAATGTTTTCTTCCTGCCTTCCTTACAGGATTAGTTCAGTAATTTCTTCTAACAACCGGTTCTCTGAACTGCTTAGAATGTTAACAACCGGTTCTAGCAAATAGGTGTGAACCTGTAGAATCCCACCCCTGCTGTAAGGGCCTGCCTCTTCTCTCTTGTTCAAGAAAGCAGAACTCTTGAAACAATTAGCATTTCAAAAGGAGCCTTTTATTGAAGGAAAGTGATAGCAATGCAGAGGAAGCAGAATCTGAGGATTCCCGCGCATATCCGTTAGGTTAAAGCAGTTAGAAACCCCTCTCCTCAGTCTGGAGTTGAATAAGCCAATCCACAGGTGTGGTTGTTTTGAGAACCAGAGTGTGATGATCCGGGACATGGAGCAGAAGCAACACAGCCAGAGAACAGGTTTAACTCTCCTTTATTGTTTCAACTTTGCCCCCCAAACGTCCCCACCTTTACTACAAGTCCTGGAGCAAAGCTCTCACACGCACCTTCAACAGCCTCTGGCTGCGAGTAGTCCAGGAAGCAAGGTTTGCAAACCAATAACCAGGGGCCAGCAGTCCAGTAAGACAGATTAGTAAACCGGTAACCAAGGCAAGAAGTCCAGTTAGCAAGGTGAGCAAAAGAGTAAACCAGAGCAAGAGGTTCTGCGGAGTAGGCAAACTGGGCAAGCCAGAACAGTAATCTTCAGACTTTGGCAAGTGCACACGGGGCTCCCACAGATTCAACGCTTGTTTCCGACAAATACACCTCCCATCATCATTGTAGCGTTTGTAAATGGACTAACCCGTAGTCTTCAGTCCGCGTTTCTAGCGGGAACGCAGACCGTTCCTATTGGTTGATGCCGTTTGACAGCCGGCTATAAAAGGAGCTGTCAAACGGCATCAGCTGTTGCTGCCAGCTGACTGCCCTGTTAGCTCGACAGCCGCAACAACCCTTTATTCTTGCAATAAAGTTACAGTTGAAGTTCTCTCCGAGTTTTGCCTCAGGTTATTACCGCCGCTCTACAACAATC